AAAATGGCCGGCGTGCGAAGCGAAGGCGGTTGTGAGGGCAAGATTCGAGTAACTGGAAAGAAGATAGAAGCGTGATGTTGTGCCCGGAGACTGGCTGTAATATATTACCGTACCACTTACTGTTCGTTCTTGTACGGCGATACTATGTATTTCAGGGGTAAATCGTTCGACTCGAATGGCTCTGTCAACTTCACACTCATTTTACATACGTCGCCGGCATAGTTCGTCATTCTCGGCATGGTTCTACGAGCTGACGATGCCGCCGGATGACCAACTTCGCTTTCTATTAGGCTCTCGCTTCAACAGGTTTGTTCCGGCACTATAGACTCGCAGCCAGGGAGTACGAGTCCCCGTTTTTGGTTACTTATAGCCTGAGAGCTGCGATTCGTCGTCTTATCGCTGTAATGTATGTAGTAAATAGACTTGATTCAGTATGTTAAGAAAACCAAGGATGGTATATGCATTCATTCTAGATTACAATCAGTATTCGATAGTCAGCAAACAGACGATGATGCCACCACGTATCCAGTGAGAATTCAATCGTAACTCCGAGTGGTGGTTAACAGACAAGGATGCTTTGCGTAAAGTGGATTCTTGTACGCGTCAAGCTGAGTTGGGGAGTACAACGGGCGGAAGACGCGTCGATCCTTTCACATGAGGCAGGGGTGCGACAAAATGCTGTGTCTGTTTTCAAGAGACGAAGTGGGAATCATGTAAAAACAACCTTGTAGCTCAGGAATTACAGTAAAGCATCGGATTGAAATTTGAATTGAACCTGCTCAAATGTCTGACGTCTAAGATGTCCAGTAAACACTTCATTTCTCAGCGCATCAAATTACACCTGCAGGTTACTTACAGTAATCAAAGTGAATGCATTGACAGATGATCTTTCAAATATTATGCCCCGTTTGCGAAGAAAAATGAAAAATGCATGTCGGCGCCAGTGAGCTTACTTTTTACTAAAATGGCTTGTTTACCATCTTTTTGATGGAAAATCCCCCTGTCTGCGACACCCAGCTCCTTTAAATTAGCATGTTGAGGGCAAGAACAGTGAAGGGCATCCTGCTCATCGAAATTGTCTAGAAGGCACCAAAAACGAAGGCGCAGTCACGTGATCGTATCTCATTGCGCCTTTCGCGGCCAAAAGCGGAGGCAGGGGCCCGGGCACCCGGCGTTTTTTTTTGCGGCTGGTTACAGCTCAAGGGCACGTTTGATACAGTATAATGTTCTTGGGGGTTTTTTTAGTACACTTTTCGGGTGGTTGATAGATGTTCGGGGCTTGCCCTGCTGTAACCTGTTGCTAATTTGTGTGCTCTATTGTTCTAGGACGGCAGGCATTAATTAATTTGCGGGTAGTTTGGTGTGCTGTGAAATAAAGTGCTGAACATCTGGGACGTCAGGTAGTTTAAGCAGACTCCATGGTAATGTGTTGGAGATTGCGTTTAATCTCAAACCCCTCCAATGTTTCTTTGGCCCTCAATCAAGTCCTGAGACATTCTCTGAGCCAAGTGAGTACTTCGATGCTTATTGCAAGCCTTGGACGTCTTCCTAACATCGGATCAGGAGCTTTAAACCACAGACTGTGAATTAAACGAAAAATGAAGGCTTCGAGTACCCCAATTATGTCGACAGTAGTTGGTTGGTTTTCATTCTTGACAAGCGGTCACAAGTTTTATGCCAGAAAACTAAAGCCAGAACGACTTAAGCCGCGGTTTGAGTCCAGACCGTACTATAACCATGGCACCGTAGTACATTCACACGTGCTCCTTTACTGAACAGTGAATCATTCGGCCTGAAGAGCCAGTATTTTTCGATATTGGGGTGTTGTTATCCATTTTGGACCGCTTTTCCATGTCCATGGACTTCGAGAAGTACTCATTGCTGTACTCTAACGTACTTGGCGATCTTGTACTGTTCCTGGCTGTGTTCGGCTGCGAGTCGAATGGCTGTGTCCACACCAGTGCCGAGTTCAACTCTTGGTTCAACTACTTTAGAAATTTTGACATAAGTTTAGGAAGTGGTCCATTTTGATCCAGTTCTTGCCCTCGGGATGCGAACTTTACCTCCCGATGGATGGATGGATGTATTCCCGAGAAATGTTGAATGTCAGAGCCTCGATGTCGATCACAAGAGATGAGACAGGTCACGGTCACATGCTGTGTCGCACAGCCATTCCCCTGTCAGGAAGTGCGTCCCTCCTTTATAACTATCGCACTTGTTCCCAAACCTCACCAGCGTCTCCACCATGTCCCAGAATCCCAACCAGCCCCCACAAGCCAATCCCGGCGCATATGTTCGTCCTCATCTTGCTGCGCTCTGATGTGATATTGATCCAGATCTAATCAGCCTGGCGGATATGCGCCCCCTCCCGGCGGTTTCGTGCGTTTTTTTTCTTCCACCGTACGTGGTCATCGACTTACCAAATCATAGCCGGCGACGCCATATGTGCGTCGCACTCCATCTTGCGCTGCGCCTGCTAATATTTCTTACTCGCTTGCGTCTGAAGGCGCCCATGCCAGGCGGCCCAGGCCAAGCGTACCCGCCGCCCACAGGCCCGCCTCCGCCTGGCGCGCAACCCGGCTACGTGCGTTTCCCCCGTCTTTGTCCCACACACAGTGCTTATCGTCCGTGTGATCGCACTGCCGCAGGCCCCACAGTACGTCGGCGCCTACCCACAGGCATACCCCGGTTATCCACCCCCGATGCCAGGCTACGCGCCTCCAGCAGGGTATCCCGCGGGCTACCCGCCGCCCGCGGGGTATCCGTACCCGCCGCCAGCGGGCTACCCGCCGCCCGCGGGCTACCCCGCCCAGCAGCCGTACCCCGCCTACCCGCCGCCCGCCGGCGCGCCGCCTGTCGCGGGCGCCCCCGGCGAGAGCGCACCCGCAGGCCCCATGGCCGAGCCGCCGACCGTCGTCTATCGCGATATTCCGATCCACAACCCCAAGTACGCCGGCGGCCTCATGGTGTACGGGTACAACCGCCCCGATATCCAGCGGGACATCGACGAGATCGTGAAGCATGCGGGCAACGACAAGAAGCGTGCGTTGATTGCCAGTGGCTCCGAGGGCGCGCTTTGCTGACGATGCGCCACGCAGTGATCGAGGTGCTCACGCGCTTGGGCCCGCTCAAAATGGAGGTCGTCGCGCATGAGTTCCCGGCGCATAACAGCAAGGGCGAGACGCTGCATCACCTCGTCGAGCGCAAGACGACACGTTATGTCGAGTGCGTTGTTCGCATCCTATTCGCTCCATACCCTTTTAAACACCGATGCAATCCAGAATGGGTCTTTTGGGCCTCGTCCTCGGGCCCTTGAAGTACGACGCGGAGCGCGTGCACGACGCGATCCAGGGTATCGGGTACGCTGGTATCTTTTGATCTGCGCCGTCCCGCTCACGCATATTTGAACCCAGGACCAAAGAGGGCATCCTCAACGAGATCATACTCGACCTCAGTCCGCAGGACGCAGCGCTGCTCGACTACGTTTACCAGCAAAAATACAAGACGCCGCTCGCGAAGGCCGTGCTCGCGGACCTTAGTGGGAACATCATGAAGTGTGCGTCTTTTCAGTGCTCTGGCTGTTCCCGCGAATTGAACCGTTGTCTGATATTTTGATTGTGCACGCAGTGTTCAAGAAGGCGCTCGAGCCGACCAGAGAGATGCTCCCGCTGCCGAATGCGACGTCTGAAGAACTCGGGAAGCTGCTCGCGGAGGACGTGAAGGCGCTGTACAAGGGCGGCGCGGGCCGTGTTGGGACCAGCGAGGTTTGTTTTGTCTCGTCGTCTCTCGGGCGATGGCTTTGGGGCTGCGAGCGGCTTCACGGCTGTCACTGTTGAACCGATACTGACGAGCGCACAGGACTTGTTCTACAAGATCTTGACAGGGCGGCGGCACGAGCACCTCGTCCAGATCTGCCGCTCGTACCACGAGCAGCACAAGAAGCCGCTGTCGCAGGTGCTGCACAGCGAATTGTAACGCACCGTCTTCCTCTCCGGAGGGTTTGGAAAGGCTGACGCGTTCCAGCTCGGGGCACGACGAGAAGGCGCTGCTCTTCATCGTGTCCGGCGCGGAGCCGAACCTGCGCTACCCGGACCTGGACCCGCAGGCGGTGCGCGACGCGAACCTCCTCGAGGAGACGATGGCGGGGCTGGGGACGAACGACGGGATGCTGGTCATGCGGTGCGTTTACTTTTTCGTCCTTCTTGGCAAAGGCGGAACTCATGTGATTTGCGCACGCAGGGTTCTGCGCGCGCACTGGTCGCGCCCGCGCATGGACCGCATCAGCGGTGCGTACATGCGCATCCACGAGAAGACGCTGGCGCGGCGCGTGCAGGGCGAGACGAGCGGGGCGTTTGAAAATCTGTTGATTGCGATGATCAAAGGGCCGGCGTACTAGTTCCGTGGCCGGCATGAGCAGTGGACGAGAAGAGAAGAAAAGAAAGAAAAGAACAGATTCGTGTTGTGTAAATGTTCAATGCCAGGGCCTCGTTTTGTTTTGTATCCGGATATCGTCGGATCCTTCCTCAAGTCTTACTCCATTCCTTGTATTTCTCAATACGCCTGTATCTACCTCTCTAGCGTTGACGGGCTTTATAATCGATTTATGTCGGCGACAGTATGCAGCGCAGTAAAATTTCCAACATCTGATGGCCAGCGAGTTAAAGCCGGTGGTACGGCAGTCAGTTGCGCTGCCGGTCCGTCTGAATCGCTCCCCTGCATTGTTTTACTGGATTTTGTATACGTACAAGCGCTCGCCGGCTCCCACTTCAAGTTGTGCGGCGGCGCTTGATCCTAAAAGCGTACTAGATTTATTGCCGAACACCGGCAACATGGCTTTAGGAACCAACGGCACTCGGCAGACCTCAGCATGCCTTTGTTATTCGGACTGCACCTCAGGCTCAGAAACCGCAAACGCCACAAGTACCTCAAACACGCAGCACTACAGAAACTGGAAACAGCTCACAGCGAGCCTTCACAGCAGTTCAACAGCAGTTATGATTGGCCCTGTGGTCTAACGGTACGACGTCAGACAGTTCTTTCTCACCTGAAGACTGCGGGTTCGACTCCCGCCAGGGCACCTCGATTTTTGCTCATTACGAATTTCAATCTACGTTGACGCGGATGACTCGACATTGTGTCACGTGTTGGGCTGAACAAGGCCCCACGTGATACTTCGGTTCCCGTAGTTCCAAGACAAGCAACAAATTTGCGAGGACGTCGCGTGTTGTTTGCTCAGGTGCTTGTTTTCCTTCCATGCGCCGTACTTTATCTTATAAGCTGCATCACCGAATTGGCCAAGGAGTTACTGGCACCGAGGTCCGACTGTAAATCGGCGACTCGGTTCAACGGCGCAGCCAGTGGTGCTGACGGTGGGATTACATGTCCAGCAGGGTCGGGCGCAGGATCGGCCCAAAGCTCAGATGCACTGAGCGGTAGCCGTAGCGTGCCGCATGCCAATTTCGGGAGCCTCTGCGCCCGCAAAGTCGAAATCGGGTCTGCAAAGCCTCTTCGTCCGCGCGTAATTATAACTCTCCCCCCAAGCGTCTACGGAATGCAGGCATTCCGCGCGCTCGCTTGGTAAGTATGTATCCCTCGAAAGCAGCGAAGCAACGCTAAATTTAAGGTGTTGATGACTCGCACGGAGACGAGGCCGTGGCCGTGAGACTCACGGGCATGCAGTGCTAGCGCCGATACTGAGATCGCTGTGCAGCCGAGCACATCTTGCGTGCCAGGGGGACGCGAGGGAACGACGCTCGGTCGTGTCCACCGAAGAACTGGCCTGCGATGGAAGCAGTAGCAGAGATAGCGCCAGCAGCAGTGTGGGACCCGCCAATCGCGGCTCCGCTCGTGCGCGCGCGCGATATCGATTCGCTGCGAGGTGACCCGAGGCGCCCGGGGCGTGCCACCGCAGGCCTGTCAATGTCATCCTTGTGTACTTGCCACGATGCAGCAGCGCGTTCCCGCGCCTTGCTGCGTCGTTCGCGTCGAGGCGCAAATGAGCTCGGCGAAGCTGAGCACTGCGGCGGCGGCACCGACGCGGAGCCGCGCCCTGCAATGAATTGTCTTGCCATCAGGACCAGTACCATGAACTTGGGCAGATCCAGCGTCGTCCTCACTTTCGGGCGGACTCCACGTCCCGTGCGCGAAACTGTCCCCGTAAGTCGCCCTCGCTTGCGACAGGGGCGATCCCACGGGCGATTTTTTTTTGGTTTTTGCGCCCGAGCATCTTGGAATTCCGTAAACGCCTGAGACCGTGCTTAATTGCCAAGCCCGCACGGGTTTCTCCGGACGCGAGCTAAAATAACTCAAATTTAGAACGAAGTTTGACGAACATGATCGCTTCCGAGCCCGCGCCGGGAGGTTGGCGCCGCCCACGCTCGTGGTTCGCGCATGTACCAACCACGGCCGCGGGCGGTCGCCGCATCGGCATCCGTGGATTCGGGTTGACGTGCGTACGCGGGACCGTGTCCCCATCCGGGTATTTGTGTCCCCCACCTCCCGCATTGGTGCCCGCACTGGCGAATCTGCGCACGACGATATCGATCGCAATCATGCGCGTCCGTATCGCGTCCAGTCGTCGCGCGTCCGGAGCTCGTGCCTGCGTGCCACTGAGACTATTCTGCCGCGTGCGGTTAGCGTTGGCCAGTAATCGCTCCCGTCGGCGTGCTGCGCATGCACGGGCTCTGGCGTTCGTCCCTGTGTACTTATCTTTGTGGGATTCGGTACTCTGGAATGAAATCCGGGAAGCGATCCTGGGTCCGGCGCCGGCGCACGACGGGCTGGGATCCCGGCCACGCACGCCGGCACGCATCATTGGACATGGAGCAGTCGGGTCAGGCGGTCCAGTGCGACGTTCAACATCATGGACCCATAGACTCCCGCCGCAACGTTTATTATTACCGCTCAACTGGGTGCGTCGGTCCCGAGCCCAGGGGATCCGGGGCCAAGGACATGGAGTGAGTGGAGTGCGCCTGCCAAGCTCCACCGCAGTGACGATCCTCGGGCTCTGGATCTTGGCGTGCGTGCCAGCATCGCCAAGGACGTGGCTGTGCAGTGATGGTGGACTGGAAAGTCTTTGAAGCCAGGGCTTCGGCACAAATTCTGACTTCATGTATAATCTGGTAATCATTCTAACAGGCCCTCCAAGTACTCTATCACTTGCAAAACAGTTTAGACTCAAAGGCAAAAGTGGTGAAATTATTGGCAAGTCCGCAATGTTGGTACATTTTTTATTTCCGCATCGCGAGCTATCACTGTACTCTGGCAGGCAGTTGAAATAGTTAGCCATCGTGAACATTTCTAAGAAACGTTTACTCACATCTGGAGTCATACTGTACCTTATCAAACAGTTGAAGCCATGCATGGCTCGAAGCCTGCCAGTGGTTCTTGGCTTCAGTGACTGAACTCAAGCCAAGCTAAAGCCATGTGCAAGCCATTGATGATGGCTTGGCTTGGTGAAGCCAAGCGAGGACTTTGGGCTTGATGGAGGCTTGTTAGCTTGAGCCAGATGATTACCGCCAATCGCAACAGGATTGCCTCCCACGTGGGGCCAGCTGTTTCCTTGTCCCGGCCATTTTTCGTGTTTTTCTCTTTCTGAACATTGCCCCATAACTTCATCAATAATCATCCGATCATCTCGTTCTTTTTTCCAATCCTGCTCCAGATGCAACCCTTCAAGGTCCAAAAAGAAATCAAATTTCCTTATTTACTGTAACTTGTTACGGAGTCTTCCCGTGCCCGGGACGCTTTAAACAGCCTAAAATGTACAGGCCTGTTCTGGCCATCTGTTGCTCAAGTCATGATCGGTTTTTTCGGCCCTGGCAGACATTACCTTGACCTTCAACCCTAAAAAAGTTTCATATGAATATCTCAAGAACTGACAGAGAAAAACGCACTTGCAACGTTGGAAAAATAAAAGGGAGCATCAGATAGTAGTAGTTCCTATGGACCGATTCCGAGTCGGATGTTGATATTTATGGTCCAGAATTTCGTCTAGATCAAGTCGACAGCCTGAAAACAAAGTCAGATGCTTGCCATCGAGCAAATAGTCGTGGCGCGGAGAATTTACTCTTTCACTAGCCATTCACTACAAGCACACAACAGCTAGTAGCAGAAAATACACTACGTACGGTACTCGAAAGTGGCGTAAGAGATGGGTGCGGGCGCAGCAGCGGAGACAGGCGCGCCGAGGCGGTGGCCGGCGCAGTGAAACGGGCGGGCGGGAGGCGCGACGGGGGCGCGTGTCTGCATTGATTAGATTAGCAGCCAGGTCCTGATACGGTTTTGCGCGCGGGGGGGTTAGGGGACGGTATCCCCGTGCTGTACAGAGGTCAGTTTAGGACACAATACAAAAGACAAAAGAAAAGACTTACAATTGATAAAGCACGGATTTCAAAAGCTAGCTGCGGGCCGTACTCGCGCATCGCGCGCCGTCAGCGCCCTAGGACAAGCGGGAAGGGAGGAGCATCCTGGTGCTGGAAGGTGGTGGTAAGCCGAGGAGGGACGGATTTTCGCGTTGAGCTGAAAGTCCTGATTTTGCAGCACCGACGGTGCAAACGACAACAGTAGGCACGCGGCGATGAGACGAGGGTGGAAAGATTTTTCCGCTCTATCCGATGGGCAGCATTTGGCGTAGTCAGACTGTAACCAGAATAGGCATTTGGCGGTGTTCTTAATAAAAGGACACGTACAGTAAAAGGGTAGCTAAGTGATTCATATATTGAGGCCGACAGGCAATGAGGCGCGGCAGCATCTACGTTCAGCTGCATGGGCTTGCAAAAGAAAACTAAGACAAAGACCGAGTCTGAAAACCTACGCCGCACGCACACCGCGCTCTCCCGGATACTGCTCGTCCGCGCCGCCGTGATTGGCTGAGTCCGCCGCCATCGACGCGCAGACCCAGACGGATGGCTCCCACGAGCCCGCCCGCGAGCGGTGCACACGGCGGTCGTCGCGCGAGCAGCCGCAATACCGTGGAACTGCGGTGCGCAGGGTGCGGAGTATGGAGCGCAGACAGCGGCGGGCAGGTATCCACGCAAGGCCACCACGTATACGTTCGGCGCAGAGATGCGAGTCCATGGCACAGAGACCGCACACAGTGCACGTATGGCAAGACGAGGACGCCGCGGACGGGCACAATGCGGCGTCGTGGCGTGTCTCGACTTTGGGCGAGCAGGCTGGAAGACGAGTGAGTGTGCGAGGACGGGCATACGCACACTGTAAGAGGCGGGGGATGCAGCACAGCGACGCGGTGAGAGCGTGGGCTGAAACTGCAGTCGCACCAGGCAACAGCCGAGCTTGAATCTGTCTCATGTCAAAACTCAAGCCGTAAACGGCCGAAACGGCCGCGTATCCCCGAAGCCGTACGGGTCAAGCCGTAACGTAACCCGTACCGTACTTACGGCCCTACCGGCGAGTCAAAAAAAAATAACGGCTTCAACAATTTATGATGCCATTTAGGGTGTTCTTACACAGGCCCAATACTGGATAATACTTCCCATGGCAAATCATGGTAAATCTTGTCAGAAATATAATGCCGGGGTGGCGAAGGCCGGAGGTCTCGGAAGGAACCACGAGCTGCGGAATGCAGGTGCAAGAGCACGGAAAGAGCACAGAGGACGCGCAGAGGACAAGGATGTCAAAAGATGATAGATTGGACTTCCTATGTGAGGCTACAGACCCTGTATATAAGGTGTGTGATAACTATCAGTAATGATGTATCAAGGTACATCATGTATCAATGATGAACACATGCTAGTGATAAAATGATATATCAATAAAGCTGTACCCGGACTGATGTAAACGAAACAATCATATTCTGACACTCCCACCTTTACAAAGGAAGAGGACACTGTAGATGGAGAAAGAAAAAAATCAATCCAAAGAAAGAGTGTGTGCAGGCTCCCACCGAATGGAACACACGAAAGGATACGAAAGAACCAAAGCGTACCCAGAACCCAAAAATTCAGATCCAGATCTGAACCAAACTTGGCTACCGTCTTCGTCACCAAGAGATCCAGGCAGGGATACCAAAAACCAGATTGGTGAGCAATCTCAACAACCCACACAGGCCAAGTCG